TAATAAAAAAATAAAACAATTATAAAACATAATAATTTATCTAAAAAATTATGAAACATGTCCACAATTCATACAATTTGCCATAAAATTAAGACTAGGTTACATTTAATTCAATTTTCAAGTTCTAGTTTTAGTCTTGTAATTCCAGCTGTCAATTGATTCACACACACACCCAGATGAACGATTATGATTGTTTTCTACTTTACCAACACAATCCAAAGATAGATACAATCTGTCTCCTCTCTCAAACTCTCTGCCTCTTCTCTTTCTCTTTCTTCGTCCAAAACTTTTTACCTCTTTCTTTCTCTTCTGTCAATCTCTCGCTCACTCGAACTCTCCACATCTCTTTTCTCTAGATCTGGGCAATAGCACCATCACCGCCGAAGGGCAACAACACAAGGGAATTGTGTCCCAAATTAGATCTATGGTTGAGCAGAGATGCCGGGGAGATCAATTGAGCTAAGAAGGAAGGAAAAGAGAAGAGAGATGTGTCGTCCTCGTGTGTGCGTCTGGCTCATGGAGATTGAAGAAGATAAGACAAGATTTTAGGGCAAAATTGCCCACAATAAAGATTTTTTTAATTCTATATATCATTTAAAATTCAAATTGGCCCCAGTTTGACAAAAGAGTTTGGTTCACAACCCGATTCACTAGTTTAACAATTGGACTGACCGATCCGATCCAACACTGGTTTTTTGAGAATATATCCAAACATACTCTTAGGGCATGTTTGTTTAGGGGTTTAAATGGTACTATAGGGTGGGATAGCAAGAAATAGTACTTGAGGCCCACCTATTACCTTGTTTGTTTGACGTTTTATGTGTAGTACTATTTTTTGGGTCGTAATACCAACCTGGTTTGCACAAGATTCGTTAAACCTTGTATATGGTATTAATGAATACCACATACTCAGTGGTATTATCTTGCTGATATAAATAGAAGGACAGTACAAGAGAATAAAATGACATAAATGCCTTCCCATATAGTATCTCCATATAAAAGCCAACTTCTACAAATAAACCCTAGTCACTCGCCTCTCTCAACGTTGAAACCCTTGTCAGTCGCCTCCCTCAACAATGCTGAAACCATAGCCAGTTGCCTTTCTCAACGATGTTGAAACCCTACCTACTCTGAACGATGGTGAAACCTTAACCACTCGCCACTCTCCACTCTCAACGCTGCTGAAACCCTAGCTATGCTCAACGATGACGAAACCCTACCAACTTTGAATGATGGTGAAACCTTAGCGACTATCAATGCTGCTAAAACCTTAGCCACTCTGAACGCTGCTAAAACCCTAGCCACTCTCAACACTATTGAACCTTTTTTTTTGCAAACCGCGCACAGGTACATTCTTATGAATCTTCTCAAATTTTTTGTCAACGTCGATTACGCTAATGTTGTGTTAATGCTGTAAGACGGGGAAATGATCGCTAGTGATCTAGCCTATGTCGACCTCTGTGCAAAAGATTGGTGGCAATCTGGTATTTTGGTCTTCTAATTTTTCAATCTCTAGTGAAATACAAGCCTAGAATGTCATATTTTTTTTTTAACCATTTGTTTTTGGAAAGTAAAATACAAGACCAAAATATTTTTTCCTTGTTTTAGTCACTGGACCTATTCAATTTTTAGGTAGTTTGTTCTCTTATTTGTTGTGGAATGTTGCCCCTATCCATATTTTAGCCCTTATAATGTTAAGAATGTTTGCCTGATTTTATTTTGAGTCTAACAGTTATGATTTTTTTTTATATTTTAACAAAAAAGATGTATTCTTTGTTGTGTGATGATATCTAATGGATGTTTGTTCCTGCAATATGTTTTGTTTTGGTAATTTAAAGCGTTCCATAACAAGCGCTGCTTGTTGGCTTGGATTTTACTATAATTTGTGTGAGTGATAGTTGTTATGGATGAAGACAATTATCTCAGTGTGCTATTGGTGGTTGTTTTGGGTTGTGTCCACTCTGATATAGTTATGATATGCTCATGTCTGATTGCTGTAATTGTAAATTTGTTAAAATTTCATGAAATTGAAAACAACAATAGGATCTCAAGCTCAATCACGCAAACCCGACTGTAAATAGAGCATCTTAATAGATTGATAGTTGAAAGTGATATAACATGCTATAATCAACTTAGGATGGACAGACGGTGTTTTTTTATATTGTGCACACTAGTTGAACAAGTTGGTGGACTCAGTTGTACAAGGAATGTTAGCATTGAAGAGATGGTAGCTATGTTATTGTGTATTATTATTCATGATCATAAGAATAGACTAGTCAAATTCAGTTTCATTAGATCCGGTGACACGGTTAGCAAGTATTTCAATGCAGTGTTGTTGGCGGTTCTTAAGCTACGTCGTTTACTGCTTGTATCCCTAATCCAATCATAGATGAATACACTGACCATAAGTGGAAGTTTTTTAAGGTATTGAGAGTTTTTTAAAAGTATATCCATCTTTGAGTTGTCATGTCACATAGTATGTAGTTAGCAAAATATTAGTTGATAATATGTTTATTTTCTATTGTATAGAACTGTGTTGGGGCTTTAGATGACACTCACATTAGAGCAAAAGTGTCACTTGTACACCAAACAAGGTATAGAACAAAGTAGGGGCAAATTGCAACCAATGAGTTAGGATTATGTGCACCTGACATGAAAATCATTTATATTTTGCTTGGTTGGGAGGGATTGGCAGCAGATTCAAGAGTCCTTTGTGACGTAGTTACAAGATATACTAGGTTACGTGTTCAACAAGGTAAGCTATAGTGAAAATTTTTAGTGCATTTTTTATTTTGTGGAAATTGTGTACTAATGGGCATATACACAATTACGACATACACATATTATTTATGTGATGTTGGGTACACCAATGGTAAGGATTTCTTAACTCCTTTTAGGGGTCAACAATACTATCTTAACGAATTTGGAAGTGGAATGACAGCTCATCGTAAGGCAAAGGAATATTTTAACCTAAACATTCCTTTGCCAGGAATGTTATTGTAAGGTACTTGCTCTCCTCAAGATGCGATGGGCAATCCTTCGAACTGCCTGTTTCTACCCTATCTCCACACATAACAGAATTATTGATGTTTGTTGTTTGTTACATAATTTCATTAGAAATGAGATGTCAGTTGACCCATTGGAAGACCACATCCTTGATTATGTTCTTATTGAGGACGATGACAATACCAACACCAATGTAGTTGACAATGTTGAGACCTCTATTGCGTGGAGTGCTTGGAGGAATCAGTTGGCGAATGAAATGTACGACACATGGCAGATGGGTAGATGAATTTGAGGGGGGGGGGTTATTTTGTAACCTTCAATTAGTAGGCTAAATGGTTGATATGTTTGTAATGTGTTATGGGTATTTCTTTTGCTTTGATTAATGGTTGCCCTGAATCTTAAGGAATACAATTTATTTGGTGGTGTTATTATGTTATATATTTCACATTTGTCGTATTGTAATTGATTTTACATTGCATATTCTCTTTACACTGATATATATATATATAACGAATATGGTTAGTGTTGGTAGCTCGCAGAGTATGAGTGGTATTCAAGTGGAAAAAGGTAACAGGCAAGTATGGACAAATGCAGAAGAGACACAACTATTATTTGCACTGAATGATCTATGTGTAGCAGGGTTGAAGTTTCCTAATGTTACATTCAGGCCAAGTTATCTGTAGATAAAAGAACAAAGAATTGACAGCAGTATGCTTCATGCACAACCACACATCGAATCAAAGATAAAAATGTTGAATAGGCAGTATAATTGTATACTATCTATGATGAATACAAGTGACTTTCGGTTTAATGACACTAATAACAAAATCGAAGTTGATTTTGATGATGTTTGGGAGGAGTATTTAAAGGTAATTTGGTCTGGTATGCCACTTTTTAATTAATAGAGGTATGTTATTATTTTTAGTACTCCACTTATTCGAGATATGTTCTTTCGTGGTATAATTGTTGTAGAAGGATAAGGATGCTAGGGGGGATGCGTGAAACATGTTGGTCATACTACAAAGATTGAAAATTTATTTTTGACAAGGATCACGCAACAGGAGAATTTGCGAAGGATCTTGATGAAATGGTTGGAGAGAATGACAAGAGGATGCACACCATGAAGTTGACCCGACAGGCATCAATAATGAAAATGAGAACAATGGCACAAGTCATAATACAACTCAAGACATGAATGTTTCCACTTACACCCCCACTACCAAAAAGATGAAGAAGAGAAAGGCTTCAACAGCTGCCAAGATCACTGCAAGTAGCTTGGTGATATGATCAGGGTCTTAGGTGATTATGTTGCTACTTGTGATCGTAAGCCTAACAATATTGCACATAGGGTAGGCCATGCCCAAGATGTTTCTGAATCTAGGAGAAAAATCTTTGCTAAGCTTGAGAAATTGGGTGGCTTGATGAGGATCTATTCTATGAGGCTAGTTACAAAATTGCCTCTGATTCGGTTAAGGTGGACTTGTTCTTTAGCTTGTTTGACGCTTCAAAGCCATATTGAATAAAGAAGTTGTAGTACAGAGCGAGCTACCAATAGGTGTAGGGTTCGGTAACATTTTCTTTTGACGTGATATAGGTGAAATTAGTTATATAAAACCTTATAAAGTGACATGATATACTGTCCACTTTTTTTGCTTGTTCACTTATGTCCGCATCTAATGTATGGTTATGTTCGTATGTAAATTATGGTTAAGTACGTATGTAAATTATTTCATATGAAGTTTGAACAACTTAGTCGTACTTGAATTATGACGTTATGTTTATTAACACTTGTTTTTTATATTGGTATGCGCTTGCATAGAAATGTACTAATATGTATTTAGTTAGACAAGTGATGCACATGAGAACAAGTTTTTATGTCATGTTTGTTGGAAGACAAGTTAGTGTCTATACGACGTGACAAGAATGTCATGTGCAAGTGAATAGATACCTAAGCGCATTGTACAAGTCTTATGACTCGTACATCGAGGCTAAAAATGCTTTGCGCACATACGTTTGCAAATGAAGATGTCGTAAGAGATGTCCAACATGAATGTGAAGTAGTTGTTCATCAGAATCAACCTCTAGATAATCTTTGTGTAGAAGATGCAATGGACATTCCTCTAGCAGCCCCTGTAGTTGTTGGGCTCGATGACGAGGGCGAGGGAGACCGTAATGTCAGTAACTATCTCATGTATGTTTGTGATGTTTGTTTTGGGTATGATACTAACCTACATTTTTTACTTTTTTATGGGTAGACTTCCTTGAACTATGTTTGTATTTTGTTTGACACCTTTTGGACAATCTTTAAGGTTAGTGTTTGGTGCTCTATTTAGATGTATGTTGTAATATTATCTTCTATATTTTGACATTAACTGGGGAATGTATGAATATGATGTACAATATGAATGGAATTCTATTGTAATTGATTTTTGTGTTATGATATGATTATTTTGTTTAATGAATTTGTATAAATTGGTGGTGTGTCAATGGTTTGTGAATTTGGTTTGCACAATATTATATAGAAAATGTTGGTTCCTCGAATTGGTGTTGTGAAAAGTGATGTCTTGATGGCTTTATTGCTTCGAAACAAACAACGGGGCATAGTGCCTGAACGAGGCAGCATGACAGCCCAACACTTTCGAAATCTATTAAGGCGGATGAAAAGGAGGCATCCTGCATTTAGCATGGATTAGATTGTCCTTGTAAAGATTAATTTTTTCTGGAAGAAGCAGTACTTCACTATCAAGTCTATGTTGAAGACAAGGATGTTTTTTGGGACTCGACTGACTTGTACGTCATCGATGGGCTGATCGCTGGAGCGCGTGACTACCTAGTGGTAAGTGTTTAATTCAAAACTATATTAATGAATATCATCTTATGTCTCTTGGTTTTATTTGTTTTCACCTTTGCTTGAATTCTTGATGTGTTTAAAAGTGATTAACTTGTAGGCAAACAAGTTTGCTAGAATCTGGTGCTTTGAACCGTGTCCTTTGTTCAAGAAAAATGATGGAGGTTTTCGACAACGTGTCCCCGGAAGTGATGATTGAAAGTGTGGGCTCCTGTTCGGGTGGTGATCCAATAGAAGACATAGATGTTATTGATGTTTTTGATTAAGCATGATCCCTATCAGATTATGATTGTATGTATATGCTTTCCACGTGCCATTTTGGTTTCTGGGTATGAATGCATGTGGATCCAACTATATATTTGGAATGGATATAAATGGTCAAACTTGGTTGCTGTTGATGATGTTTGGGGAGTTTCATCTTTTGGGAATGTTGGTGTTTATATTATGTAAGTTAAAAATGTTTATGGTGGATGTTTAAACTTGCTTGTGGAGCCAACTATATTGTTATTTGGTGGCAGTTGATGTGCTTGCACTGGTATCTTATATTTCACGTTATATATGTTGATGTGTTGTGCATGCAGTTTGTTTTTTTTGAAAAAGAATGACAATGTCGTGTGTGTTGTGCTTGAACTGATATCTAGACATTGTTCCAATGAGAATTTTTCTGTTAGTTTGTTGTAGTGTTAAAGTTGTATAGATGGACATATTCTTGCAAAATATAAAGCAGTCATTGTTGCTGCAATTGTTTCGTGTGTTTGAGGTTGATTCTGTGTGTGTGTGTTACCTAGGAGATAATTGCAACAGTGCATGCAAATCATGTGGAACAAAAAAAAAAAACAAGGTTTTGGTTTTAGTCGTGCACAAGTGGTTGTACTAACAAACTGGGGCATTAATTGCTTTGGATTATAAGATTATAAATATTTTTTTATAGTGAATAGTTCATCTGACATTTTTTTGATAGGTATCATACAAATAATTTTTGTAAGAAATAAACATGAAAAATGATGTGATAAAAATTTAAGACCAATATAATATCCCAGAGTAGAATAGATATCATTTTTAATACTATTCATAATTAATCCTCCGAACAAACATGCCTTTAATGTTTTAAGGGATCGAGACAAGTTCATAAAACCTCTCACGTGCATTGCAATTAAGCACTAATAAATTACCTTGGAGTGATCCACAGAATTCGGACCGGTGACCCGATCGGACCCATTGGACGTCTGACAGGCTCCGAAAGACCAATTTTTTTTCACTAAGCAGAGCATTTAACGTTCTCTCTCGCTCCCTCGCTCTCTGTCTCCTCTCTCTCTCTCTCCCACTCTTACACACGCACACACTAGCAAGCGAAATCAAGATATATTCTTTCAATACCCTCTCTTTTCTCATAGAACCCATAATCTAGTATATTGAAATGGAGGATATAGAAGATTTATTGGTGGGGAGTGGCGGGGCACCACCTGGGTTTCGGTTGCCCTTGGCGGCGCCAGGCGTTGGAGTCAATCCCAAGCAGAAGAAGCCAGTCCGAGACTCTCTCACTTCCCCTTATTATTCCAAAATCCCTGGCACCCAGGTCTCTCTCTTTCTCTAGATAGAATTCGTGTCTGTGTATTTTTATGTCTAAGAATGTGTTGGTATGTATTTTTGTTTTCTTACTGACTCATATTGTTGCCGGAATTTTTTTGCAGACAATTTATATGAAGACTTTTGGATGTTCTCATAATCAGGTAACTTTTCTGATTCCTTTTTCTCTCTTCATGTGTGTGCGCGCGCTGGGAGCCAAGATTGTATTTTGGGGGGAGGGGGAGAGGGGGGGGGGGGAATATGAATGAAAAATTAACCAATTAGTATAAAAGCTAAATAGAATTTTCCTTGACACACAAAATCCTACATTCAAGCACGTGAAATATATTGAAAGATCAAAATATCGTTTTTGACACAGTAGAAACGATTCTGTTTTCAAGATCAAAACGAGACATTGATGGAATTAAAATTCTAATATTTTGAGATATTTTATAATATTTTAATACATTTGTACAATTATTTCGTTAATTCAAAATGTTTCAAGGTATTTTAAGATATTTTGNAATATTTTGAGATATTTTATAATATTTTAATACATTTGTACAATTATTTCGTTAATTCAAAATGTTTCAAGGTATTTTAAGATATTTTGATATATTTTAATCACTATTTTAAAAAAATAATTCTTAAATTTTTTTATTATGTTTCTGAAACGGGTCGAAATACTTCCGAAACACGTCGAAATATTTCAGTTTCTTAGGTGACCGAAATNGTACAATTATTTCGTTAATTCAAAATGTTTCAAGGTATTTTAAGATATTTTGATATATTTTAATCACTATTTTAAAAAAATAATTCTTAAATTTTTTTATTATGTTTTTGAAACGGGTTGAAATACTTCCGAAACACGTCGAAATATTTCAGTTTCTTAGGTGACCGAAACAACACACCGAAACAAAATTTTAATCCTTAAATATATTAAATCCAAGACTTGATTTATAGATGGAAATTTGAACCAGTATTAAATTAGCTGAAACAAAATATAAATAAAAAAAGAGTCAATAATTTTTTCATAATACGTTTCAACTAAGTCAAACATTAGAAAGCAGCACGACAACTTTGATATAAGTCACACATATCTTCAATAATTGACTGATTATATGCTAATTTTTCACAATTTTCTTTTAGTGTACACAACCAAAGAGTCCATGACGAAATTATCTCTCAGCTTGTTTTGCAGCCTATTTGAGACCATCCTTTTTTTTTTTTTTTTTTTCGACAACAAATCATCCTTGGTTGATAACTTGATTCTTTTGCAAGTATGTTTTATAACTCACTAAAAAACGAGTGAAGACAACTATATGATTGTTTTTCGAAAATAAGTGTCGGTGTATTAAATAATGAAGGTATTGTCTTTGGTTAATATATAATGGTTAAGACATCTGTATCTGTTTTCCCTAGTACAAAAACAAAATATAGGCAGTTGAGTGAATGACTAACTAACGGGGAAAAAATATTGCTGGGACCACTTTACAAATTTCTAAAACCTAAGGGGGGCAACGTAATGAATATGACATAATTATGATTTGTAATACTACATATATAAGGGTAAATTGAGGGTCAGCCAAATGTTAGTGGGGTTGCCCCCTCCTTATAATGCCGTTCTGCCCTTGTGCGTGTATGTGTGTGTGATGGTGGTTTACTGTATGGACAAACCCAGAAGGTCAATTGAAGTTTCTGCATTTTAAAGTGCCTTTGGATACTGCTATTTGATGTTGTCTAGAAAAATGCTAGACCAAAACTGTCATGAATTTCTTATTCCTTGACTGTTATAGGAAAAATGAAAATCGCTCTCGTAGAGGCGTTGTTATAGTGTATAAGCATTTGACACATTCTTGATCAAATTAAAGTCGGATATTGACAAGTGTTTGCCAATGTAGGATTCTTTAAGTTTTTTTGAGCAGGGTGCTACAATTATATCTTAAACGTTTGAATTCCTATGTAGAATGACCATTTTCGTGACTCAAATTTATGACAACCACTCCCAATGGAACAACCTTACCAATGCATCAAGGCTTACTTCTCATATGAAATGTATTTTATATGCATAAAGTAAGGAGAAACATTAAAAAAAAAGAATATAATCTAGATTAACATCTCAACTTAGGCTAACAATCCTAGATTTATATATTAAAGGGCAACACAGAGTAAGGAGAAGCATTAGAAAAACAAGAATGAGATGGTGGAATCTAAAAGATGAGAAACTAGGACTATTTGGGAGTAGAATGCTTAAGGAGGCGAATGGAACGTGGAGGATGAGACTAACGTTATGTGGAGTTGGATGACGGAATGTATTAGAAAAAATTCAAAAGAGGTTCTTGGTAAGTCAAAAGATAGAGGGCGGCTTGTAGGAAAAAAACTTGGTGGTGGAATGATGACATACAAAATGTAGTTAAAGTAACGAAAGAATCATTTAAGAGATGACAAAATGATAGAAATAACAAGAACTTCCAACGACATAAATTAGCTAACAAAAAGGTTAAAAAGATAGTTAGAGACGCTAAGTTAAAAGTCTACGACGAGTAGTATAAAAAACTAGATAGTAAAGAGGGAAAAAAGACATCTATAAACTAGCTAAAATTAGAGAAAGGAAAACAAGAGACTTTAACCAAATTAAGTGCGTTAAGGGTGATGATTCAAATGTTTTAGTTAAGGATGAGGAAGTAAATGATCGGTGGAAAGACTATTTTGAGAAACTATTAAATGAAAATCACTTAGGAAACTTAGAAAAGATAGAAAATGGTAGAATTTATGAAGCTAGAGTGCACACATTCTTTCGTAGAATAAAGGATTCGGAGGTAGATATTGCATTGAAGAAAATGAAATTAAGCAAGGCATTAGGACCAGATGAGATTCCAATTGAGGTTTCAAAGAGTTTAGGGAATGATGGGGTGTCGTGGCTAATGATATTATTTAATAGAATTATTGTTATTAGGAAAATGCCTGATGAATGGAGAAAGAGTATTTTAGTACTTATCTATAAAAATAAAGGAGATTTTTAAAATTGTAATAATTATAGATAGAAAAAATTGACGAGTCATACAATGAAGCTATGAGAAAAGGTCATTGAACGTCGCCTAAGACTTGAGACTACAATTTCAGAAAATCAGTTTGAGTTTATGCCTAGTAGATATACTATGGAGGCTGTAATTATTGTTAAGAGTATTAGGGTAGTTTGTGTAGTTTGTTAATAGTGTTAGGGTGTTATGTGTAAATATAAGAGGGTGTATGTATAATTTTTATTATTGTAAGTTAACTATAAATACAAATGATGTATGAGAGTTAGGTTAAATTTTAGGCTCTCTCTTTTTCTCCCTAAGATTGTTAATCGTCTACACTTAACATGGTATCAAAGCATTACGATCATAAATATATTCTGAATAAATTAATTTTTTGTTCATGGTGATGGTACTGTGTTGTCGAAGCAATTGTGTTGTAGAGGCATCGTGGTGGTGGTGATACTGTAGTGGTGGTACTGGTTGGTGATACGGTGGTGCTGTCACTCGTTGTGTAGTCGACTGTCGCTCGTTGCCCAGTCGTTTGTTGTGGCTTGTGTTGTGGTTCTACTATGGTGCTTGTTGTGGTGTTGTGGTTCTGTTGTGGAGTTGTTTGTCATTGTTGTGGTGTGTCGTTCGTTGGGTGGTGAGGTGCAGTCGAAGCAAAGGATCATCTGGAACCCTATCCAAGGAAGAAGATGAAGTCCAGACCCGGTTCAGCCTAAACCGGTTTGGTCTTGGTTCAGACTAGTGGTTCACACTAATTCCAACCAGTTCAGACAGTCTTTACTCCGGTTCAGTGGTCCAAGAAGTAAAATCGGTCCGGTTTAGAGGTCCAGGAAGTAAAATCGGTTCAGTTCAGTGATTCAGCGAGCCAAACCGATCCAGTTCAGTGATCCTACAAGTCAAACCGGTCCGGTTCAGTGGTCCAGAGGTCTCAGCGTGTCCGGTTCAACAGTCCAGCTAGCTTTCCTTCCCCGGTTCAGTGGTCCAGAGGCTCAATCTGACCGGTTCAGTGGCCCAATTACCTTTTCCAGTTTGGTTCAGTCTTCCAGCAGCCCCTTTTCTGCTAGTTCAGCAGCGTAACACTTCTTGTTTGCTATTTGTTACACTTTTATGGAACCCAAGTAAGATACCAGGTCCCTTACTCCATCTTTGCCCCCTCCAACTCTTATTAATGATCCCATAGCCTTTGTTAAACTCAATGGGACCAATTATACTTTATGGTCTCGATTTGTTCAAGTCCTTCTTCGAGACAAAGGATTTAAAAAATATTTGGTGGATCCTAAACTCAAGGAAGATACACTTGGGTATGATCAGTGGGAATAAGAGGACGCTCAAATTATTTTTCTACTATTAAATAGTATTGGGTCTAATATTATTTCTACTCTACTCTACCTTGACACTGCCAAGGAGATATGGGATCACTTGACTACTATGTATTCTGGTACGGATAATTTTACCCGAGCTTATGAGGTGTGCAAGGAGTACTTTCGGCTAGAATAGAGTAATCTGAGTATTGATGATTATTATTCTCACGTTTGAGGAGTCTGTGAGGAGATGAAGACCTACCATCTATTTACTACTGATGCAGCAGTTTGACAGAAGCAACATGAGGACATGAATGTTGTTAGGTTTTTGGTAGGATTGAAATTTGAATATGAGGCTATTTCTTCTCAGATTTTAGGTGGGTCTAGTCTTCACTGCTTGAGGTTTTCTCTCGTGTCTAGCGTGCTACTTTGTCTACTTCAGGATGTGATCATGGTGTCTCCACTGATCGCTCAGCTCTTGTGGTTCCTCGTAGCCATAGTGATGGTCATCGAGGTGGTCGTGGTGGTTATGGTAGTCGAGGAGGTCGTACAGGTGGTTGTGGAGGCCGTAGTGGACCTCGTTCCTGTACTCACTGTGGTCATGGTGGGCATACTGTTGATTTTTGTTGGGATTTACATGGAAAACCTTCTAGTGCTGCGCATAGGCATCCTATTAGGATGACACTTCTGTTGTTGCTTCCATATCTCGGTCAGCTCCACCAGACACTAGATCAGTTACTCTAATGCGAGAGGAGTATGTTCAATTCTTGTCCCAGCAACAGGAAAAGTATGTTCAGTTCTTGTCCTAGCAACAGGCTGTTCCATCATCCTCCACGG